GGCAGGTCAGGAGAGGTCTCCTGCACCATGTGAGTCACCTCCCTGGCTGGGGATGGAACTTGTGCTGAAGCTGCTGCATCTTTATCAGTGCTGTGCTTTAACCCTTTGCACAATCAGGGAGAGCCCTGTTTCTCTTTCCATCCTGCATCTTACCTCTTTTTCATCTCAAGATCTCTGATTTTTCTTCCATTTGATTTATTCTACTTTCCTGGCTTTCTCCTGAATTTTTTTGCTTCTTTCTGAAATTTTGTTATTTTTTTTATTTGAAGTTTTAATTTTTATTTTGTTTGTTGATTGGGTTCTTCTGACTTTTATTTATATGGTTTTAATTATTTTGTTTTTTAAAATATGGCAATCTTGTGTTTTATGGCTGATAAGTATACTTTTCCATGTTTTTGTGGTTTGATTCTGGGATTTTGTTTTCTCTGTTTGGTGTATTGTTACCCTGAGTGTTTGTTTACCCATTTGTATGTTTCTTTCTCTACATTGTTTGGTTTAGGGTTGGTATGCAGTTGTTGAGAGTTTTGTTCTATATGAGTCTGTCCCCATTTTTCTGTGTGCTTACTTGATGAAGGGCACAGCTACTGGGGTTTCTTGCTGTTTCGGGGATGGTGCTAAGGCCTCCCTTGGCCTTGTTCTAGTGCCTGAGACAATTGACAGAGCGCACAGTTGAGAGGCCAAGTGGGTGGGACTTTACCCCATCTTGGTCTGTTTCTATGGCTGGCAGGTTGTTGCATTGCTGACTATCCCTGATATAGAATCATGTTCTCTGTGGCTTTAAGCAGGGTATTAGTCTCTTCCAGATGTGCAAGTGACTATGTGCTGAGTTAGATGCACTTTCTGGGTGTTACTTAACCCACTATGAATGAGTAAGTTGGCAAGACCCATGAACTGGGTTGCACATCTTATTCTGAGATGCTGGTGGCTGGGACTGGAGTCAGGGGTACTGTGAGGTTGCTGAAGATCCCTAGTGTAGAGAAGGCCTTGCATGGCACAGGCTGGAGTGATGGTCTGCTCTGAGGTGCTGGTGGCTGAGTACTGAGTGGAATGCAGCACTCCTGCGATTAGTGGGGCTTCTGCCATGAATGGATAGCCCCTGCAAGGCCCAGACTGTGGTATGTATCTGCTACTCAGGTGCTGAAGACTGCGGCTGGAGTCAGGGGTGCTTTCTGCATTTTTGTGTAAATATTTTTATTTTCACAAATTTCTAAGCCACATTTAGAGATCCCAGGAATAACCTAGATTTTTTTTTTCATTTTGTTGGGAAACCATGTGCACTTAATATAATTATTCCACAAAGGTACGCCTTTTAAATTTGTTGAATTCTGTAAGGAAAATGCATTATCTATATGCTGGATCTGCTATATATGCAGACCTAACTTGATATATTATGACTTATTTGTAATTGATAAGCATTCCAATTTCCATCAATGGATACCTTACTGAGATTTCATCTGTTGTTTCCACAGATTTCAGGAAACCTTACTGTGCCTTGGATTACAGGGTGTTCTAGAAAAAGAGCAGTAAGTAATTTTTTTCATTTAAAGCATCAAATTCGTTTTGCTCTGTGTTGTTAAATGTCATTGAGAAAATTGTCATGATAATGGTAAAGAACGCAAGGGTGAACCTCAATTAGATTATATTTTCATTAATGCATATACATGTATATATACATATATATATAACACATGTAACCTCATACAAAATGCAGTAATCAGTACACTCTACAATCTTTGAAAATATTTGGTGTTTTATAAAAATTCAAAGGTAATTCATTAAATAATATTTTTTCTACATCTTATCTACCCAGTTATTTTAATCATATATTTCAATCATAGTTGTTATACTCAGTCAACACTAAATAACTTACATAACTATTTACTATTAAGTCATTTAATTACTAGAAATAAGTAACTAATATTTTAATAATCTGGTTTTCTGAGATGTGGAACAAACCCAAATGCCCTAAAGTACAGCTTTTGGTTTTTATAATGTTGAGATAACAAAACTTCATTACACTTGTTTTCTCAAAGAATTTTATTCAGTTTGTCTGTATAAGACCCACACGTCTGTATCTTAGCAAATACCCCATGAGACTTTGGTAAAACTGTTACATAGATGGGGAATGATTAAATAATTTTTACCATAAAGAAGATATAAGTAGATATAAAGAAAGATAATTCAAGTTACTATATGGTAGAAAGGTTTGAGGATGGTAAATCTGAATCTACAACTTCAGTACTAAACAAGATTATATAAACTCCTCTCTCTGTTCTTTTCCACATGAAATAGAACTGAAAACCACGCAAGGAATACAGGATGCCACAAAAGGAGAATTCTGAAAGGTGAATAGAAGGCAACTGGTTAGGGACTTCAGGGCTTAGGTTGGGGACAAGATGCCCTGTTGTCGCTCTAAGAGAAAGTGTCTCAGGCCAGGTTATTTCCTGATCCTCACCCTAAAAGAGAAGGCAAGTTGGATAGGCTTATTGCTCCCAATACTATGCCTTGAGTCCCACAATGTTATGTAAACCTGGCCACACTGGTAAACCTTGGTGGTAACACACAGCTAAGAGAACTGTTCTCTTTTTCTGCTGGGACTGGGATTCTCTTCCCTTCCTTACTCAGAAACATAAGATACTAATAATAACATCAGTAAAATAGCAAAAAGCATCCTGATGTTAAAAATCTTTTTCCATGTAGGCCAGGAAACTGTTTTGCCCACCTAGAGAACCAGGAGCTTAGTGAGCATCAGCAAGAATAATTAAGATAGCATGTGCGCTCAGCCCACGAAGTACACTATCCATCCTTAAGAATGGAGAATCTATTTTCCCAACCTAGACACTGGTCTTTTGGATGACACCAACAGGAGGAAATTCCCCATGGCAATCACCTGAGTTGGTGAAGGTTTTGCTGATCTCTTACTTTGTACTAGCAGGGATACATGAAGTCCAAGTGATGCCAGACAAGTCAAGCAGATTAAAATCATACTGTAAATATTCAGAAAAGTAAAGTATCATGGGAGCCACATTGTATAAAGTAGGTCAACACTTTCTGTTAAATTCAACTGTGTTAAATTAAAGATTCCTGATTAAATTAAAAAATTCAAATAAGAGTAAATATCTCTGAACATACTGGCCAAAATGTCCAGACACAATTGAAAATCAACCACCATAACAAGAACCAGAAAAATTGTAGCTTTAATTATAAAATAAATCAACAGTTAATATTAATGACATAGTGGAATTATCTGGAAAGAATTTTAAGAGCATCCCTTATAAAAAATGTTAAATAAGCAATTACATATTATCATGAAAAAACAACACAAAATCTCAACATTGCAAGCAAAGCCATAAAACAACCAAATGAGAATTATAGAACAAAAATTACACTAACTGAAATGTAAAAATTGCTGGATGGCTCAATATTGAGTGGTAATAAAAGTGTATAGAATTAATGTATGTGAGCAAAAATTAATAAAATTTATCCAGTTGAAAAAACAGAAGTAATAGACTAAAAAATAATAAAGAGCCTCACAGTTCTGTGGGACAATAATTCAAATATTTGGTATAATTGGAGTTCCACAAGAAGATGAGAAAGAAAACGAAACTAAGAGAATGTTGAAAGAAATAATGACTGAAAATTCTCCAGATTTAGAAAATAGCATAAATGTATAGATAGAAGAATCCAAGTAAAATCTGAACAGGATAAATGCAAAAAAAAAAAAAAAGACACCAAACACCAAATATTTAATAATTGAACTTTTGAAGACTAAACAAAAGCAAAAATTGTGAGTGCAACCAGAGGGAAATGAAGCATTAACTATACTGCAACATCAATTCAAATGACATTGGATTTCTTATCTAGAATCCTGGAAGCCAGAAGAGAACTGGAAAAATCTTTTTCCCAAGCTGGAAGAAGGTTGCCATAATCTGATAATTTCATATTTGTCAAGACCATTAATCAAAAATGAAATTAAAATAAAAACATTTTGAGATGAAAGTTTAAATTGGTGATCAAAAAATATTTTTTTCTAAATGAATGACTAAAGAAAATTCTTCACACAAATATATGATGAAGAAGGAATCTTGGGGCAACATGAAAGGATATATACATATCTCTTTCTATTGTTATACTACATCTCGTGTACCACCATATTTGATAACTGAAACAAAAATTTCTGGTCCTATCTGATACTCAGCACTTTAAATTGGGGAAAGTTAAAGCACCTAAACAGAAACAAAGTTTCCACACTTAATTAGATACAGTGTACTAGTATCAATATTTTACTATAAGTCATATCCTGTATGTTTTAATAGCCAGAGTGACTGCCATAAACACTATACAAAATGATAAACTCTTAATATGGTCAATAACAAAACAAAATCTAACAAAATGTTCAAATAACATACAGGAAGAAAAGAGGAAACATGGAATGAAAAGCAAAAAAGAAAGAAAGAAACGTAAGATTATAGTGTTAGGCCCTAACATCTCAATTATTATCATAAATATAAATATGCCAAGAGAAATGTAGTCATTTACATAGTGGAGAGCACAGTGAACTATGGTGGAGGACTATGGATGCTTTGGTGGTAGGCACAATGTGGTTGACTATACCCAAATAGGGTGATACTATAATTCCAAAGTACTACTAAGGATATAAATCAATTGTATGCCAATAAAATTAAATAATAAAATAAATTTAAAATAGTTCCATTTCATACTGTTTATTAAAATATCACTTCAAGTTCAATAATAGGTAGGTTGAAAGTGCAAAGGTAAGGAAAATATATCATGCATATATTAATAATAAAAACCAGGATTGAATGATTATGTTAATATCAGTTAAAATAAACCTGAGACAACTAGGACATCAGTAATGTAAAATTATCAATTTTAAATGCTCACACACAAAGAAGTAAGGCCTCAAATTTCATGAATCAAAAACTGATGGAAAAAAAGAGAAACAAATCCTCTATAATTATAAATAGGAACTTTAATGCCCATGTCTCAGAAATATATAGAAGTACTCAGAAATATATAGAAGATAAGGAAATAGAAGGTTTGGACAATATAGCTTATACAATCTATTTACAATATATAGAATACTACAAGAAAGTAATACATATTTTAATGGTTCTTCAGTACATTAGACAAGATAGACTTTATAAGAATCTAAGTAAAATCTAGAAGAAAAACTCTTATAATCAGAGATGTGCAAATCACAACCACAATGAGATACCATGTCACACCAGTGAGAATGGCATATATTGTAAAAGTAGCCACAAAAAATGTTGGTGAGCAAGTGGAGAAAATGAATTCTCCTTCACTACTGGTGGGAATGCAAACTAGGTATGACTACTATGAAAAGCTGTTTGGAGGTTTCTCAAACTGCTAAAAATGGAGCTTCCATGTTACCCAGCAATCCCACTCCTAGGTATATACCCAAAGATACATTATTTCAAAAGAATACAGGCCCTTCCTGGTGGTGCAGCAGGTTAAAGGAAAGCACTAAGAAGCTAAAGCCACTTCAGCATGAGTTCGATCCCCACTCCAGAGGTGATCCACATGGCATGGCAGACCTCTCCTGACCCGCCTGCTACTCCCCTCAGCAGTGTGCTTTCTCAGTGGGCCTGTTCTGCTCCCCGCAGTCTCTGGTGAATCCTCTCACCACCCCTGCATCTCTGGCTTGCACCCCAGTTCTGTATGCATAATAAGTAAATCTTAAAAAAAAAATACCTTCACTCCTGTGTTTAGTGTAGCACTATATACAATAGGTAAGATATGGAAACAACCCAAATGCCCAAGAAATAGATGACTGGATCAAAAAGAGCTCTCTCTCTCTCTCTCACAGACACACACACCCCGGAATACTACCCAGCAGTCAAAAAAGATAAATGCACACCATTTTCAGCAACATGGATAGAGCTGGAAGGGATTATGCTCAGTGAAATATACCAGAAGGAAAAAGAAAATTATCGGATAGTTTCACTTATAGGAGGAATATAGGGGAATCAAATGGGGGACCACGAAAAAATAATTATAATAAATAAACATAATTAACAGGCAACTATAAGTCATAGACATTCTGCAGGGGAGTGGGAATGAGAAGAGGGGAGGGAGAGCACAAAAGAATATTGTGCTGATGCACAGTCTCTCAGGAAACTACACCTGAGATAAGAAAGCATACATTGTACAAAAGGAAGAGTTATGTAATATATATATATAATGTAATATTTATATATATAAAATAATTGTATCATTTCCTTATTTCACTTACAATATAAGTAGATGAGATAACAAAAATTATCGCAAATTGAAATCTCCTGGTAGATTATATAAATAGTCCTTTTGTATACTGAAAAAATGTGGATGAATATTGACTTGCATTTATCTTGGATAATTTTGAAATTATTCAGCCTGGATTAAAGAATCGATATAGAGCCACTGTTTCCACAATTCCATAAGTCACATATCTCAAGAATATGCTTTTAAATTGCTACTAATTAGAGTAAAGAAAGAGTTA